AATCCTGCTCTTTCAGACAGACTTTTAAGCGAATGCATCATAGAAACTGTATCTTGTAAGTTATCTGCGATTAATACAACATCATCTGCAAACCTTAGGTGATTTAATCTTTCTCCATCTATATTGATGCCCATATCTTGCCATTGAGTACCCTTAAATATTGACTCTAGAGCTGCCGTGAAAAATTTTGGTGAAATATTGTCTCCTTGTCTAACTCCTCGACCTAAGCTGAATTTTTCTGTGTCATCGTGCAGTCGTATACTTGATGTAGCGTTCTGATAGATGTTTTTGATTAGTGTCGTATACCTGTAATCTATTCGTGTTTGATCTAGAGCTTCCAGTATTGTTTCAAACTCTACAGAATCAAAAGCCTTCTCGTAATCGACAAATGCAAGAACCAGTGGTATGTTGTACTCGATGCACTTTTCTATTAAGATCTTTATGGTATGCAAATGGTCATTTGTGCCATATCCTGCCCTGAAGCCTGCCTGTTCTTTGGGCTGATAGAAATCAAGTTTAGGTGTTAGCCTCTTTGTTAAGATTTTCATAAAGAGTTTGTACATATGTGTCAAGAGGCTGATGGGTCTATAATTTTCTAATTTAGTAATGTCGTCTTTTTTGTGTAACAAGACTATTACTGCATTGTTCCAGTCTTTTGGAATCGTACCCGCATGTAAGCATTTAGTAAACAGTTCGCTTACTGATTTTAATAAAATTTCTTCACCTGCTTTTATTGCCGCGATAACGAGTCCATCCTCACCAGGCGATCGATGGTTCTTCATTTCCTTTAAAGCTGCTCGTACTTCTGACACAGTAATGGGTAAAAGTATTTCCGATCCCTGATTTATGAGAGTCTTTACTCGTGTCGTATAAACATATAGATCGTCGTATATATATATATATATATATATATATATATATATATATATATTATATATATATATATATATATATATATATACTAGTATATATATATATAATGTAGTAAATAATAATATAATAATATAAATAATTATAATTAATAGGAAGGAATATAATAATTTAATGTGTAAAAAACTGAAATTTAATTTATAAAATATATAAGTATTATTACATCATTGATACAAAATAAAAAAAATATACGTTGCTTTTCCGGGATTTTCCGAAATTTCCGGAGGGAGTGAAAATTATGTCATCATTGTTAATACTGCGACAGATTATTTCAGCCAAATTAAAAAAAGTAAGTTTTTACGGTGAATTTCAAATGGACTCAATTTTTCCGAATTGTCCATATTTCCCGGCCAGTGAAAACTATGTAGTTATTCATATTTTGACGGGCTACCCCAAATTAAAAAAGAGGCTGCAGCTGCAATGGAAGCCGAGATAATGTAAATTTTTCTTACGTGTGTTAATTTGAAGTTCCGATATCGAAAAAAAAAAAGGAACTGAAACAGTTATCCCCTCCACTTTCCTATGTCGATCTTTCGTAAGTACCTTCATTTTGAGTGCTGTAAGTTTCGAAAAATTGGATGAATTTTATAGCTATGTTTCAATATAAAGTTTACATTTTCATTCAAAATTTGTGCAAATTTTACTTCTTAATGTTTATAAACAATAGACACATGATTTTTTAAAAAATAGTCCCTAACTTTATTCCTATTGGTCATAGGTTTTTTTTGATGTGATTTTAGGGATACATAGGGATAAGTAGCAGCTGCCACGCTCCAAAATTTCGTCAAAATAGCCCCCAACTTTGTTAATATTGGTTCTATAATGTTTTTTTAAATATGAGTTTTTTTACCAGCTATCCAATGGTGGTACGTAAAAGATTGTAGCTTAAAAAATATACAAGTTATTACAATTGTTTATAAGTACAAAAACATACCCCTTTTTTAATCGTTTATTTTGTAAATAATTTCGATGAAAACGCAATATGCATTTAACTTCTGAGATAGTTTAAGTCTTAAAGAATCCTATGAAACTTGCTTAATGTGTCTAGCATCACTAATAGAGCAAGTTCAATAGTTTAAATATTTAGTCTCAGGGATAAATAAATTAAATAACTTTTAAACCGATTTAAATTTGACTGATCGGTGAAAAATTTCGAACAAATTTAAAAGAGGGTAATTCCTCGATATTCAAATACCATGTGGTCTCAATAAATTCATTTTTAGCGTTATTATGTACTATGTGAAAAAAACCTGAAACAGGTCGATTTTTAGTCTTAAATTGACAATTTACAGTATGAAGATAATATCCCCTCCAGCACCCCCTTTGAATTAGAAGCACCCCCTCGAAAATTTTAAATAGCAAAGGGGGTCGTGTAGCACCTTGTTAGAAAGGGATTTTAGTCCTCTGTTCATCAATGAAAAGTTTTTTGAGTTTGTGAAATTATAACTTACAAAATTAATTTTTACAATATTAAATTAAATGTTCAACTTGACCACTATTATTCATTTCTTGACAATAACCGAGACGATTTTGGAATTCTCATACAACATTTTGTATGACCTCAGGAGTTATTTTGTTAATTTCTTCTGTTATCCTAACTTTTATATCAGCAATATTGCCTGGTCTATTAAAATATACTTTAGAAAAAATCAGGTATTTTCGTATCTGTTCTGCTAAATGTTAGGGAAAAAACTTTAAAGATAATAAAATGTTAGTCAAAAAGCCAAATAAACAATTGATATAAATCTAGTAGGCTGTTGTCATTTTGGTATTTAAGGTTACTAGAAGACCTGAGTATAATATTTGTGCGCGTATTAAATTTAATTATGGCTCATGTGTCCGAGACTAAAAGAATAGACATTTTAACTATGATTGGTTGTGGTAATAAAACAAGAGCTCAAAAGGAGGTTTGTGAAAGTTAATAATAAATACCCTGGTCAACAAGTTTCGTAGTCTACAGTTAGCACAATTGCGAAGAACTTTCGTTATACTGGACATGTAAAAAATATTGAAAAACCAGGTAGAAATAATAAATTTATTGATGAAAAAAAGTTAGATGTACTTCTAGAGATTGAGGAAAATCCGCATAAGACAACTCGAGAACTTGCCGCCATAAATGATGTAAGTAAATCATCTATTTTGAGAGTTTTACATAAAGAAAAATACCACCCTTACAGAGTTCAGTTGGTTCAGGAGTTAAATGAAGATGATCCTGATAGAAGGCAAGAATTCTGTGAAATGATGATGGACAGAATGAATGCAGATTTGCAGTTCATAAACAAAATAGTTTTTTTCTGATTAAGCGACGTTTCATTTAAACGGAAGGGTTAACAAACCGAACTGTAGATATTGGAGCAGAGAAAATCCTCACTGAGTGTGTGAGACTCACACGCAATATCCTAAAAAATTAACGATTGGGCTGGTATTATTAAGAATACAATTATTGGTCCTTATTTTTTTGAGGGCGCAGTTGATGATGAGGTTTATCTAGATTTTTTGATTACCTTTTTAGTGCCTACATTACGAAGATTTTTTCCTAATGGACCTTTTTACTACCTTTTTACTACCAACAAGATGGAGCTCTACCGCATTTTATACTTATAATTAGAAATTATTTAAACAAGGTTTTTTCCAATAGGTGGATTGGAAGACGTTGAACAATCGAATGGCCGGCTAGATCCCCGATTTGACTCCTCTCGATTACTTCTTATGGTTATTTAAAATCTAAAGTATAATTTACTAGACCAAACAGTATTGCTGATTGAAAAGTTGGGATAACTGAAGAAATTAACAAAATAACTCCGGAGTCGTACAAAATGTTGTACGAGAATTCCAAAATCGCCTCGGGTATTGTCAAAAAGTGAATAGTGGTCATTTTGAACATTTAATTTAATTGTAAAGTACATTGAAAAATACATTCTTAATATTATGTTACATTATTATCTTCATTCAACCTAAAGTTTTGTGGAAAACATATTATCAAAGTTTTACATTTTAAAAATCAATTTTCTAGGTTATTATGCACCAAACTTAAAAAACGTAATATTACTGAACAGAGGACTAAAATCCCTTTCTTACAAGGTGCTACACGACCCCCTTTGCTATTTAAAATTTTTGAGGGGGTGCTTATAATTCAAAGGGGGTGCTGGAGGGTGATATTATTTTCATACTGTAAATTGTCAGTTTAAGAATAAAAATCGACCTTTTCCAGGTTTTTTTCACATAGTACTTAATAACGCTAAAAATGAATTTATTCCATACATATGGACCGCATGGTATATTAATAACATTTTATTTTGTGAATAAAAAAATTAATAAAATTTATAAATTAGTGCAAAAAAACTGCTTTTCTGCAAATCTCTGTAAATTCTCCGTAAATTATTTAAAAATTTTAATTTAAAAAACGGGAAATAAAGATATTCTTGATATAAAAAAATTATATAAATATAGTTTATAAAATATAAGGGAAAAAAACTTGTGGACAAAAACTCAAATTGTGACCATAAATTATGATTAAAAAAAACACGAGGTAAAAATACGAGTACTTTTTCATCTATTCGTCAACTAGTAACCCCCATCTATGTCTTAAAAGCTTCAGATATCTGCGAAAAATTTTGCCGTGAAATCGATGATTTTTGCATCACCAGACTGGGCTACCAGTGATTTCAACAATAAAAAATTGGTCAAATAACAATTTGTAAAAAAATTGTAAATACAGTACTTATGCTTAATTTATTTTTCTCTATTCTTTCTATATTAGCATGTAGTATAATTGTATTTACTACGTCTTCATATGGTTGTGAAGCCAATTTTTTTTGTGATATTTTAATACTATTTGCTATTTTTATTTTGAATTAACCACAAGTTTCAGTTTAAATTTGTATCGAGAACAACTTCCGAAGTGGAAATCAACGTCAAAATAAATGTATTTTAAACTTAAATTATGGTTAATTCCCAATAAAAATAGTAAATAATATTGCGTTTTCAGTTAACAATACTTGGTGTGCTGCTCATATAAACGCATTTATTTTATACTACTCACAACTTGTATATATGTATATAAAACTTACGTATATTGTTTTAGAGATGATAGATGCAGTGGAAATGGATATCAAACATGATGTTAATAGTAGGAACGTTCCTATAAGGAATGTCACAGCCATAAGTAGGAAGAATATTTCGGGTGTGTTGACATATTTTCCATATCTATGGATATAGTAACCTACGATTCCGACAGTGACAATGCCAAGAATCTGAAAATAAAAAAAATAACTTTATTTTGGTTTCTATAAAATTGACAAGACCGTATTTTATTGATTATAAGATGCATGAGACTTTTCATTTGCAAAAATTGATAGCTAATTAACAAAAATAGGTATGTACTAATATCACTTAAATTATCACCCAAAAATAATAGGCGTGCAGTGACTTAAAAACGCTAGCAATATACGACTACTTTTTTTGCATTTCTAATAAACCAAACCTTTTTTATTCGATTTTATACATTTTTCAAAGTTCCTTTCTGTAACTTTTCCAAGTGGGCCGGCAATTGCTATTAACAAATAATATTAAGTTATATTAAAAAAAAGCAATTTTACCAAATCGCTTCAGAATCAATTTTTTATGATTATCTCATCGAAGTAAACACTTTTCTCTGTATTTAAAAATGCTTTCTTTTCGAGAATTACAATTTTTGTCGAACAAAGATTTTTGAGAATTTATTTTTTAAAAAGTAGGTACTCAATGCATTGCAATTCTAAAAAAGCTTTATAATCTCTAAACCTTCAAGTACAAGTAAGAATATTTTGACAAGAATAAATGCCTTCTATCTTGCTGAAAACATGGACTCAAATATTTCGAATATGCCTTTCGAAAGTGTACGTCTTCTTGCTGAATCTATGTCCAGGACAAAATAAGAACGCCTTTCAGTATCCATACATTATTCTTCTGGTTACTAAATGACTTTTTGGTCTCAGCTGACCGCGTGTTTGGTAAAGCCTAAAGGTTACTTAAAAAAGTACTGTTTTAACTAAAGAAGAATATGAAAATATATATTCGGCAGTTAGAGTGGTGAAGAAATTGGGACAAATGTATGATAGTTATAAATAATTTAAGTTTACTATAAAAACAGTTCAATACAGGTGATAGCATTCAATGGCAATCGTTGTCAGTGTTAAAGTTTTATAAGGGCATGATATTAGGGAAACAGCTCAATGAATGCATATGAATTAAAAACATAGATACTGAAGAACATGAATTTGTAATTCTATCAATGAAGGTCCAACTGCAGATATGTCCACTTTACCATCCATTCAAAAATAGACATGTTAAAACCAATCATTCAAAATCAGGTATATTCAAATAAAAACACTTTTTTTGGTTAATAAAAAAATATTTTAATACATCTGTATAAAATACCGATTTAGAAGAAATTTAGTAAAAACAGATTTTAAAAAAATAATATATCTTAACTAAAAATCGATTTTTATGTCTCCTAAAAAATTTGGGTTTTGTGACTCTTCTAGCTTTGAATGGTTGTTCCCTAAATAATCTTTAATTATATAGATCAGGTTGAATATTTTAGTCGAATAACATGACTTTATGATCACATTTGCCTTCATTGAATCCCGTGATCTTCTCAATCACTTGCAGAATTCTCCTTGATTTTTCCAGATTAATAAAAGAGACATCTAATGGCAACAACTATAATCTCCGAAAATGTAAACTCTTATAGATCTTTACTTACAAATCCTCCTAATATCACTACACCGTAGGGATTTTGGTATAGACCCAATTCTTTTCTACAGTTGTACCTACGTTATATAAGAAATATTGCTTTTCAATTTTGGAAAAACGATTGTTTTAAAGTACTTGAAATACGTTAAATAAATGACAGTAACTGATTCAGTTATGTTTTTCACATTCTCTTCATTTTTTAGTAAAGAAAATGTTGGCATCCCATCTTTATACTAGTATTTTCCTTTATAAAAAATAAGACAAGAAAGGCATTAAACTGTATCTTTTCTCTGAATAAATTATGACGATGCATTGTAAGATGGTTTTATCAGATATATGATCATGGATTTAAAGCGTCGATAATCACATCTTAAAATGCATTTATGAGTTTACATGGGGTGTCTGTAAGAGTCCACGCTTCTGCTCCAAAGTACCTAGCATCTCAGAATCCTTATTCGAGTATGGATATTGAGAAAGAGATTACATATCACTTTACGCATCTTATTGAATGTGCCTTATCGTATCTTATTTTTTATTTCTCTCATCCTAGTCTTTATTGAAGGAGTATCCAAGTATGTCATTATTGTCTCAGCTACATTGTTAACATTAAATGGTTTGTTGGCAACGTCGTTCTTACTGATAGTTGTTTTTTTACAGTTGTATCTTCATACCATCTCTACAGCATCTTATTAATTTTCCATATGTTATTGCGATATTTCGTGTTTATTTTAACGAAGTCAGTCTGGTTCCTCACAATTCTGTGTTTTATAGGATACAATCTTATTTCGATACTTTCTGTTTATCGAAGTCTATCTGGTTCCTCACAATTCTGTGATCATTATCAGCTGGAGATTTTCAAGTGTTCATCAATTAAGAAAGGGCATTATTGAATATTGCATTGACACTTGTTAACTTTTTGATGCCTGCTATCTAATATAGTTACAGATTTCTCACGTAATTTAATCTCACGTAATTCCGAAAACTAATTTAATGAATAAAAAAATACGAATATGTTTACTAACTTTTTTTAAATTGTTTGTGTAACATCTAAAAGTTATAGTATTATTAGGTCTCCACTTTATAAAATGTGTGGATATCAAATTATGGAGTAATTTAACTACAATTTTTTTGTGCAGAACCCTTTACGTCAATAATATAAACGAGATATGATGTCATGATTCGGTAAACAGTGATATCATTTTTTAATAAGCAATTAGTTTTGAGCGATAAGTTTTATTCGACCCCGTAAAACTTTTTTTTTTAATCATTGTTCAAAAGAAATGATCCAAAGATAATATTCTTGTTGCTGGTGGTATGGCGTTTACCTAGCTGATGAAAGATTGGTAAGTATAGTTTGCATCGGTCAGTACTACTAAAAATAATATAAATCCCCAGAATCGTACACCAATGGAAATAAGAGATTACGAGTCGGGTTTCGAAAGGCACTGCTTATATACTTATAACACCAAATTTCATCGTTGTGAAAATTCGTTCTATAATAATTGGTATATGTTCATAGATTATGGCAGAACGACTATCAACCTTAAAAGCCTGGATATATCGACGAATTCCCCAAATATTCTGGACAGATCACATTACTAATAAAAAAGTGTTCGCGAAAAACCAGCTAGCAACAAGAAAGTACTTTTACAGTGAACAAGAGAAAGCGGGAATACTTTGATCATTTGACGAGACGTCACAAATATCGCTTCTTGCAACTTGTCCTTCAAGGAAAAGTAAATGGCAGAAGAGGTTCTGGGATATAAAGAAACTCATGAAAGCAAAACTAAGCAAGTGGTTTGGTCTGATATCTATAGAGCTTTTTAGATTAATCGTTAATAAAATAAGATTCGGAATGTTAATAGCTAACGTATGCAATGGATAGAACATTAGAAGAAGGAATTTATTACAAATTAGCTACCATTAACCTAAATATAGTTAAATTCTATATAAATACCTATATAGTATAGATAAAAATCATACAAACAAGCTGAATTTTGCTACGAATGTCAATTTTGGGACCCTAAAACAGATACAATAAAGTTTAGGCCCCTGCTAGTAGGGAGGGAGGAACGGAAAAAATCGATTTACCAAGAATGTGTAAACCGTAGAGAACCCATTTTTCAAATAAAAAATGTAGCTGGGACAAACGGTTTTTAGCACTTTTTGTGTAGAAAAAAACTGTTCTCTGAGAAACAACGCTTGAAGTGACGACGGTTTTGAATATCATTTACACGCGCGAAATAAATTTTAAATAAAATTTGTATTACTCGACGGTAAAAACTCGATTTCTTTGATAAGAGTGTGTATTGACAAAAATCAAATTGCGTTTTAAAAGTGAAGAATGCAGCTTTTATATGCAATATTTGTATTTTGCCGTAAATAAAGTTAGTTTTTATAAAGATGTTAAATAAATAAACGTTGAATGATTTTTGCTATTTTTTACAATTCTCATGAGATCAATAAGATGTATAACTTTCATTGACTGGTTGATATGGAATTTTCATTTTTAGAGTCTAATCTTCGAAACACACAGCATGATACTTTCGCTTTCAGTTTTGACACAATGTGAGGCATTTTAAATATGCCTAAAAATGTCGAATTTAAAATTTTTCATTACGAACGATCTAAAATATTTAAAACTGCTTCTTTTCGATTAGACAATTAAGTTTTCTGAAACAAGACATCAGCTACAAATTCCACCTAGGCTAGACCAAGTCCAAGACTAGGCTGTAAAAATGAAAATTTCACCACGACAAATTTCATTGATCTCATTAGAATCGTAAAAAATGGCAGAAATTGCGCAATGTTTATTTACTGAACAGATTTATAGAAACTTACTTTATTTACGTCAAAATACAAAGATTTCATACAAAAGCTGCACTCTTTACGTTTAAAACTCATGTTGATTTTTGTCGATATGACACCATGATCATTTTATTTCGCGCGTGTAACTGACTTTCAACATCGCCGGTCGCTTCAACCGTTGTTTCTGGGAGAACAGTTTATTCTAGGAAAAAATTGCTAATGAACGTTTTTATTTAAAATTATCTGAGCTACATTTTGTTATTTAAAAATTTTTTTTCCACAGCATACAGATTCTTTATAAATCGATTTTGCCCCTACGGTGGCGGGTTTAGGGGGAAGCCGAGGGGTACGAGTGGTAAATTAACATTCTCAGTAAAATTCAGCTTGTTCGTATAATTTTTAGAGGTAAAATCTCTAATGAATGGACTATATCTTTGTTGCCCATCTTATCAAAAGTTTATGAACGAATTTTAAAAAATCAAATTAATCTACATTTTGACTCTAATAAACTGTTTGCCATAAATCAGTACGGATTCCGAAAAAAAAAAAACAACAACTTTAGCTATTGATCATTTCACTAGCAATATTTTGGAACTGTTTGAGAAATATCTTGATACTCTTGAATCGTTTTTAGATCTTACTAAGGCTTTCGATTGTGTCACACATAGTATTCTGATTAGAAAACTTCCTCATTATAATTTTCATAGTG